CGGCGCGCACGTGTGCGATGGCTGGGATGTAGCGCTGTGGCGCGCGGCGACGCGCTGTTGGCGCGAGCCGTAGCTCGTGCTCTGCAAGAGGTGGGCTCGACGGCAGCCCGCCTCGTCGTCGCCCGAGTCCCTCGACGTCGTCGCGGTCGTGCCGGCGGCCTCGAGCGGCGTCGCGGCGCTGCGCGCGCGACGATTCGGGCTGCGGCGCGTCGCCGTGCGGCCGTGGCCCCGCTTTCGACCCAGCCGACGAGGGCAGCCTCGGGCGTTTGAGCTCGGCCAATGAGCGCTCGAGGCGACGTTGGCTTTTGGCAGCGCTGAAACTCAGTCGAGGCCTCGAGCACTCGCACCGACGCTACGCCGCTCGACCTCCTCGCCCAGGCGCTCGCGCCGACGCCGACGCCGGCGGCGTCGCGTCCTTCCTTCGTCCGCGCGCTCGTCGCGTCGGTGCCCGCGTCGGCGCCCTCGCCGCCGCCCGCGAAGCGCCGCCGACCGCCGGCGGTAACGGCGCGCGGCGACCAGAGTGTCTTCGCGCCGAAGGTGCGCCGCTCCTCCCGCCCCTCCCCCCCTCGAGAGTCCCGCGCGACCCCACCCGGAGGGCCCGAGCTGGAATTTCGCGGCGCGGCCGTCGCCACACGCCTTCGGGCCAGGCGTCGGTCCGCGCGCGGTCCTCTCGTGGCCCCGGAGGGTGGGCCCTCGAGAGACGACGGGTCGCTCGCGCGCGTCGCTCGCGCGCGCCGTCGCTCGCTCGCGCGCCGTCCGCCCGCCGCCGGCCCGCCACCTCCCGTCGTCCGCGCGCGGCGCGCGCGTCCGTTCGCTCGGGGGCTCGTCCGTTCGCTCGGAGCCGCGAGCACGAGCACGACCCGCGCCGCCCCCGCGTGTAGGGCGCCGCGTTTCCCGCCCCCATCGACGCCATCATCCAGCAGCAGAAGACGTACTTCAAGGGGCGCCGAGGGAAGAGGGGCGGGTTCAAGCACAAGAAAGGAGGGGCGGGGTTCATCAGCCCCGCGCGCGCGCGTGACGTCGACGAAGTAGAGGAGAACTAAGTCACGCTCTACTAATATGCCGCCTAAGGCGGCGAAGAAGAAGGCGGAGAAGAAGAGCGCGAAGCGCAAGCCCTTCGACGACGTCACGAACGGCGCCGCGTCGTCGTCCGCGGAGAAGAAGACGAAGAAGGAGAAGACCTTCGAGCGCGTGAACGTCGACGACGTCTTCATCGCCGACCTGCAGTCGGCCTTCGCGGGCCTCACGGAGGGCGCGCCGTCGTCGGGCGACGAGCGCCGCGCGTTCTTCGTGAACCTCGTCAACAACCAGCGCAGCATCACGGACGAGCTCACGCGGAAGCTCGGCGTCTTCGAGCTCCGGTCGTTCCCGGCCGCGACGGCGGAGGAGATCGTGAGCGAGATCTGCGTCTTCCTCCTCATGAACTTTGACGTGCCCACGAACCACCCGGGCAACGGAGTCACGAACCCGAAGAACGGCTGCGTGATATGGCTCCGCCAAGGCCAGTGGACAGCCTTCGAGAAATTTGAAATGATAAAGCAGGCGGACGCGAGCACGATCGCCGCTAAGCTGCTCGTCATGGACCGCATCCCGCTCATCACGAAGGTGACTGAGCACGGCCCGGACGCCGAGTTCGTCGAGATCATCCGACGCGCTTCGGGAGGGGACGCCAAGGCGAAAGCCGGGGGTCTCCTCAAGCAATACTATTTGATGATCATGGCCATGTTCGAGCTGCACGCCTGCGCGCGAGGCGCGCCGGCGCGCGTCGTCGGCGTCGGCGCGGAGTCGCGCAAGCTCTGCGATTGTTTCTGGTCGAAGCTCTCGAGCGTCGACGTCATCGGCATGATCATGCACCCGGACAAGTGGCACCGCGGCCCGAGCAAAATCGAGGCCGCCGAGATCACGGCCGAGGAGCTCGACAAGTCTGGTTTCGAGACCGAGCGCTTGGAGCACGTCGCGCTGGACGACTGCGCGACGAACATCGCGCGCGCGTGCGGCGTGCAGCTCCTCGAGGGCTCGGGCATCACGTTCTTCACGCGCTGCTTCGACCGCATCGACCCTGATATTATTAAAGCCGCGCGGCGCAGCGCACCATCTCGCTTTTTTTCCACTCACAGCATCATCGAATGTTGAGGACGCGAGAAAACTTCGCCAATCGCATCGTCACCGCGCGCTGCGCCGAGACGACGATGCGCGCTCGCAGGTCCGCGACGTGCGCTCCCAGCGCATGGTCGAGGCGTGGCAGCCCGGCGGCTTCATGCGCGTGTGGTGGGACGGCCTCACGCCGCAGCAGAAGAAGCAGGAGCAGCGCGACCGCGCGAACAGACTGCCCCACATGCGAGACGACTGGGTCTCCAAGTACGCGACGGCCGAGGACTACCTCGAGGCCAACCGCGCCCGCACCGCCGAGCGCAACGCCAAGGTGCGGGCCGCCCGGAGCACGTGTCGGCTCCCGGACCCCCCGGGGCAGGAGCCGCGCGAGTGCTCCTGCCTCCTGCCCCAGAAGAACTTCGTCGACCTCGCGCCGGGCAGGCTGCGGAAGTGCCTCGAGTGCTGCGGCGCCGCGGCCGCGCTCCTCGCGGACCAGCGCCTGCTTCCGAAGAAGTCGGACGACGCGTGGTACCCGACGCCCAAGTCGCTCGCGCGGGTCGCGAACGTTGTGACCGCGGGCTTCGAGCCGGGCAAGTCGCCCTTCCCGCGCGTCTACGACCTCGAGGGCGACTTCACGCCCGAGGCGACGAAGACCCGGAACAAGAACCGGGCGAAATCGTCCAAGTCGGCCGGCGCGTAGATTGCGCGCGCGCGCGCGGGGACCTTCTAGTGCAGAGCCCCTATTTAACATTATGCACCATTACCCTCCCCTCACTACGGCGACGACGGGGCAGTGAAGTGCGACGGCGCGACGCCCGAGATGGAGCCTACTTGGCTTGGCACAGACCCCTCCGAGACGCCTAGGAGGGAGCGGCGATGCGTCTGGGCGCCCCGACCAACCTGCGCGACCGAATCACCTCGCGGATCGGACCACTTTTGCTGAGGCAAAACACATCGAGGTGCGATCGCGCCGGGCTTTGGCGCGCGCTCGGGCCTCAGACGCGCCGCCCATATCCCCCCGAGAGTCCTCGCCGACCGATCGACGGCGGCGATGCCCCCCCGACCGCGCCGCCTCAACCTCGCCGCCGTCCCCTTGGGCTTGGTCGTCGCCCTCTTCGTCCTGGGCGCCTTCGCCGTCCTCCGGCGCAACGGGAACCGCTTCGGCGACGGCGCCGACGCCCTCGAGTACCTCTCCGAGGCGCGGCGCGGCGGCCTGGCCGTGTCCAACGCCTACGAGCGGGCGAGCGGCCGCGCGATCGGCGACGGCTTTTACGGAATCCCGCTCCTCGCGGCCGTCGGCGCCGCGACGCGGCTCGCCTACGCCGAGGGCGGCGCGCCGGCGCCCGCGACCTTCGCCATCTCGCCGCCGGCGCTGGCGCTGGGCGGCGACGAGTTCGCGTTCCCGGCGGTCGGCGACTACGACGTCGCGGCGACGTCGGCGTCGGGCGTTGCCGCGGTCTTCCGGGTCACCGCCCGCGTGGAAATCAAATCTTCAACCCGACTTCAATGTGCGCGTAATCGAACGGTTTGCGACCGGACTCTTCGGCTGTGCTTCAAGAACTCGACGAGAGCAATCGATTCGTCCAAGAATCAGCCGAATCGACGTCGATTTGTCCGAGCTAGAGAGTTCCGAAGTTTGGTGGGGACCCCCCAAACCAGTGGTTGGATTCCACACAGGTCACCGCCAAAATCGTGCGCCGCGAGCTGCGGCGCCTGAGCGACGCCGAGCGCGACGCCTACCTCGACGCCATCCGCGTGCTCTACGCGACGCCCGACGCCGACGGCCTCCGGCTCTACGGCGACGACTTCAGGAGCGGCGACTACTTCGTGCGCATGCACCTCAAGGGCGCCGCGGACCGGTCCTGCGACCACTGGCACGACGACGCGGGCGTACTCAACCACCACGCGGGCATCACCTGGCTCTTCGAGGCGGCGCTGCGGAGCGTCGACGCGACCACGGCCGCGCACTACTGGGACTACACCGTCGACGCGGCCGACCTCGGCGACGCGTGGCCCGAGTCCTTCGTCTTCGGCGACGACTGGTTCGGGGCGCCGGAGAGCGACACGCACGTCGTGTCCCGCGGCCGCTTCGCCTTCACGGCCGTGCGGAGAAACGCCGCGGGCTACGCCAACGCCAGTGTGGATTCCAACCGCTGGTTTGGGGGGTCCCCACCAAACTTCAGAACTCTCTAGCTCCGTCAAATCGAAGTCGATTCGGCTGATTTTTGGACGAATCGATTGCTCTCGTCAAGTTCTCGAAACACAGCGAAAGAGTCTGGTCCAAACCGTTCGATTACGTCGTGAAGATTTGGAATCCACACAGGCCAATACGACGAACGCGTTCGGCTTGCTGCGGTCGCCGTGGAACGCGTCGCCGGTGCCGTTCCTCGCGCGGTCGACGTCGACCCTGGGCCTCCGGGGCAACGGCTACGGCACGTTCCCGACCTGCGCCATGTTCGCGAGCGTGCTGCGCGACGGGAAGCTCTCGACGATTCTGAGAGGCGCGAACGGCCAGCTCCACGGGCCCGTGCACATCATGGTCGGCGGCCACTGGGGCGTCGACGACGCGTGGGCGGCGTACCTGTCGACCCAAAAGTCCAACGACTACTGGCTGCTGCTCTCCAAGTACCTCTGGCGCCAGGGCTACGTCGAGTGCCCGACGGCGTGTTCCGACGACGCGCCGAAGCGCGCGTGCGCGTGCGCGTGCCCCGCGCTCGACGCGGGCGACCTCGACGCGGCGACGATTTTGGTCGACTCCGACGTCGCGGACCTCGCGCCCCCCCAGGGCCAGTGGCTCGAGAAGCTGCGCCGCGAGACGAACTTCACGGAGGACGACGCGCTGCGGCTTTTGTGCGCCGTGGGCACGCCGGGCGAGCTCTTCACGTCGGCGGCGCCCCAGGACCCCCTCTTCTGGCCGCTCCACGGCAACGCGGAGCGGTTCCTCGCCTACGCGCGCGCGCTCGCGGCCGCCGGCGAGCTCGCCTTGGTACAGGGCAGCACAAGAGAGCGAAATTCCCAACTTCAAAGGCTCCTATCTCGGTCGTTTTCCACTCGTTTCGGCTGATCTTTGGACGAGCGATCATCTCTCGGAACGGTCTCGAAGCGTGGGTGCTTTTTCCGGAACGCGCGCGCGCGGAACACTCACGTTGAAGCGACGTTGAATCACCCTTGTGCTGCCCAGGCCTTGGACGAGACGTGGGCCTACGACCGCGCGCGGTCGCCGTCGGAGACGGGCGCGGTCTGCGCCTGGTCGGGGGACGGCCGGCCGGCCTGCGCGCCGGGCGCCTGCCCGGGCCACGGCCGCGACGACGTCCTGCCCTTCGACGGCCTGCCGGGCGGCCCGCTCACGAACGGCGGCTTCTACGACCTCACGCGGCCGGGCCACCCCGACCTGCCCTACGCCTACGACAGCCTCGCGTCCTGGCCCGCCTGCGCCGGCGACTCGCTCCTCGACGAGGCGACGGACGACGCCTGGCGCTCCCACGGGCCCAACGCGGGGTAACCCTTAGTCGACGATGCGCATGATGGGGTGGCGCTCGATCTCCTGCATCTGCCGCAGGAGGCGCGCCGTGTCGTAGCGGAGCTTCTGGAACTGGTCCACGTCCATCTCGAAGGTCTTGATCGAACCGTCGCTGAGGCTCAGCTCGACCATGACGCTCGGCTTCATGATCTTGTCGAGCGACGACGTCGAGATCGACACGTCGACGCGCCACTTCACGTTGGCGATGCGCGGGAAGAACTCGGGCCGCGCGGGGTCGCGGCCGGGGCACGCCGCGGCGCGGGCCCGGACGGCGGCCTCGTTCTCCTTCACCCAGGCGATGTCCGCGGCGTCGCGCAGGCCGCCCCTGAGCGTCGCGAGGGCCGCGAGGCTCGCGTCGAACTGGCCCGTCGTGCACGCCTGCCGCGCCTCCGCCGCGAGGGCGCACTTCTTCTCCATCGCGCGCGCCTTTCGGGGGCGGCGGCGCGGGCCGCGGCGCGGCGGCCGAGAGAGCGGGCAGCCTCTCGGTCTAGGGATCCCTAGAGCAACTTTGGTGCAAGAGGCAAAGATGCATCGCGTAATAAGAAGACGGCGGCGGCATCAGCGGCGGCAACGCCTACGAGCGCGCCTTCGGGCTGCCCGCCGGCTCCGTCGCGTCGACGAGCAAGGCCTACCGCGCCTGGAAGAAGAAGACGGACAAGAACAAGAAGCCCGCCTCCAAGCCGAAGCCCGCGACGAAGCGCGCGCAGCCGAACCTGGCGGTGCACGAGAAGATCAAGTACAACGCCGCCTTCAAGCCGCCGTCGCTGCTCTCCTACGGCAAGCAGGCGCTCCTCCCGGGCGCGGCGCCGGCGCTCGCCCCGCCGCCGCCGAATCGCGTCGCGGTCCGCGGCGACGTCATCGACCTCACGGAGTCGCCGAAGCCGAAGCCCTCGGCGACGGCGCAGCAGCGCGGCGGGCGCGCCGCGGCCTACCGGTCCCGGATCCAGGCCTGCGGCTGCAAGTACGACGACGGCGAGCGCGTCGGCGCCAAGGTCGCGACGTCGAAGAGCGCGACGAACTTCGGCCGGCTCTACTACACCTGCGGCTACGCCAAGGTCAACGGCTCGCGGGCGGGGCTCGGCGGGTTCCGCTGCGTGACCTCCGAGAAGCGCTGGATCGCGTGGGTCCGCGACGCGGACGTCGCCAAGGAGCGCGACCGCGTCGTCTACTAGTCCGTCGGCGTCTTCGCGGCCTACGAGCTCAACACGATGCGCCCGACCGTCGGCATCGACGACGAGATCATGCCCGTGCCCTTCTTCGCGTCCCGCGCGCCCTTCGCGGCGACCGCCGACGCGCTCCGCCCTTCCCGCCCCCGCGCGCGCGCCGCGCGCGGTCAGCCACGACGAACATGGTAAGTGCGCTGGCTCCTGCCCGCCGCCGGGGGAGCCCCTCGCGCTTAAATCGAATTACGGGAGATTACCGCGCCAGCGGGGGGTACGGGCAGGACCCCCGCGGGTGGCCCCTCAAGGGCCTGCCGCACGTCCTGCACTTCCGCGGCGCCCGCGACCTCCCCGGCGCGCCGCGACCGGGCTTCTCGCGCTTCGCCGCGTCGGCCTTCTCGCGCTTCGCCGCGTCGGCCTTCTCGCGCTTCGCGGCGTCAGCCTTCGCGCGCTCCGCCGGGAAGATCTCCCGGCGCTCCTCCGTCCGCTTCGCCGCCTGCTTCAACGCGTCGGCCTTCGCGCGCTTCCTCGCGCGCGATGACAAGCCCTGCATCGCGCGCTTCTCCGACGGCTTTAGCGCCGGTTGCCCCTTGAGGCACCGGCTGCAGGCGTTCGCGTCGCCCTGGAGCCAGACCATGGAGCCGCAGGGGCAGTAGATGCGGTCGGGATTCAGCTGGCGCTCGCGCGCGTGGGCGTCCTCGACGGATCGCTCGAGCTCGCGGAGCACGTGGACCGACGCGCCGCCCTTGTACGCCTTCTTGAGGCGGTCCTCCGCGAGGTGGCGCTCGTACACCGCCAGGCCCTCGGGCCGGCAGTGGGAGCGGTCCTTTTTGCGCGCCAGGAGCGCGTCCGACTTCTTGACGGACGCGACCAACGCGTCGCTCAAGAGCGTCGGCTTCAGCACGCGTTTTTGCGCGGAAAAGCGGTCCAGCGCCGCGTCCACGGCCGACTGCGCGTCCGCCAGCGCGACGCAGTCCTCGACCGTGGCCGCCGTCCCGCGCTCCCACGCCGCCGCGAGCCGCTTTTCCACGTCCGCGAGGTGATCGTCCGCCGCGATCCATTCATCCCGTCGAAGCTCGAGCTTCTCCTCCTCCGAAATCGTCACGTCCATGGTCGCCGAGTCGTCCTCGACGAAGCAGCGCTTGGCGTCCCGTCCCGCGGCGTCGTCCATCGCGAGGGCGCGCGGTCGCTTCGCGTCGACGACGGCGCGCGCCGCGTGCGGCCGCGGCGACGAGAACGCGCGTCGCGACGACGACGCGTCCGCGGCCGCCGCCTCGAGCGCGAAGAGCTCCGGCGCCGACGCGCCTTCCCACGCCGCGTCCGCCGCGCCGAAGCCCGGCGACGCGTCGTTCACGGCGTGCGACGCCGACACGGCGGAGCCGAGACTTGCGCCGTCGATCCGAAGCATCACGCTCGGTTTGAGCCGTTTCGCGTTCAAACTTCGCTCTAAGGACTTCATGCGAATGGATGCGACGCCCGAGGGCAAGACCGGGGCGCGTCAAGGGCGCGTGCGGCGACGTGCGCACGAGGCGAATTCAAGTTCGTGCCAACGGAGTGTGTGAAATCCCACGTAGATCTGTGGCAAAGCGAGCCGAGCATGCGCGGCCCCGCGGCGCGACGCGCGCGACGCGCGCGCAACAGAGATCAGGCGTATGCGTGCGCACGCGCGCGCGCTGTCGACCGCTGCGCGCACTAGCAGCTCTTCGACGGCGGCAGCGCGTTCGAGAACGACGGCAAGAGCCATCGCAGCATCGCTGCTGGATTACGGAGCGCGCAGCGTCGCAGCGGTGCGCGCCACGAACTACGCCTTCGCGTTGCGACCTTCTAGCACGCCTGCATGCACAGCTAGCCCACGGACGGCGTCACCGCGCGCGCGGCCGAGCGCGGCCGCGGCGACGGCGCGCCGCGCGGCGAGACGTCGTCGCCGCGCCGTGACGACGACGGCGGCGCCGGTCCCATGGCGCGCGCGGCGGCGGCCTCGCGACGACGCACTGCGGCCCCGCGGACACGAGGTCGAGCTCGCCGGCGTCGGCGTCGCCGCGGGAACGCGCTCGTCGGCGCCGCTCGCGGTCGACGAAGCCGTTCGACGCGCCGTCGCCCGCGGACTCGACGACGAGGATCGTGTTCGCAGCGCTCGACGTCCTCGACGCGACGTAGTCCTGCGTCTACCGCTGGCCCACGGACGGCGTCACCGCGCGCGCGGCCGAGCGCGGCCGCGGCGACGGCGCGCCGCGCGGCGAGACGTCGTCGCCGCGCCGTGACGACGACGGCGGCGCCGGTCCCATGGCGCGCGCGGCGGCGGCCTCGCGACGACGCACTGCGGCCCCGCGGACACGAGGTCGAGCTCGCCGGCGTCGGCGTCGCCGCGGGAACGCGCTCGTCGGCGCCGCTCGCGGTCGACGAAGCCGTTCGACGCGCCGTCGCCCGCGGACTCGACGACGAGGATCGTGTTCGCAGCGCTCGACGTCCTCGACGCGACGTAGTCCTGCGTCTACCGCTGGCCCACGGACGGCGTCACCGCGCGCGCGGCCGAGCGCGGCCGCGGCGACGGCGCGCCGCGCGGCGAGACGTCGTCGCCGCGCCGTGACGACGACGGCGGCGCCGGTCCCATGGCGCGCGCGGCGGCGGCCTCGCGACGACGCACTGCGGCCCCGCGGACACGAGGTCGAGCTCGCCGGCGTCGGCGTCGCCGCGGGAACGCGCTCGTCGGCGCCGCTCGCGGTCGACGAAGCCGTTCGACGCGCCGTCGCCCGCGGACTCGACGACGAGGATCGTGTTCGCAGCGCTCGACGTCCTCGACGCGACGTAGTCCTGCGTCTACCGCTGGCCCACGGACGGCGTCACCGCGCGCGCGGCCGAGCGCGGCCGCGGCGACGGCGCGCCGCGCGGCGAGACGTCGTCGCCGCGCCGTGACGACGACGGCGGCGCCGGTCCCATGGCGCGCGCGGCGGCGGCCTCGCGACGACGCACTGCGGCCCCGCGGACACGAGGTCGAGCTCGCCGGCGTCGGCGTCGCCGCGGGAACGCGCTCGTCGGCGCCGCGCCCGACGCGTCAGCAGCGTCCACCACACTTCCAACGGCGCACCCTTAGTTTTGCAGTTTAGTCATCTCCCTTCGGAGACTCGGGACGGGGGAGAGGTAGACCACGGGCTCTGAGCCCGGAGCTCGGGCTGCGGCGGCAGGCTCGCGGGAGAGGCCTAGGCCGGAGCGGCGTCGGCGTCAGCGGCGTCGGCGTCAGCGGCGCCGTCTTCGTCGGTTCCGTCGGGCGGGCACCCATCGTCGAGATCAACCGTCGCTCGTGCTAAGATCCCTTGCAGCACAGAGGAGGCATCCTCTTCGTCCGCGTCGTCCTCGTCGTCCGAGAGATCCTCGATAGGCCGCATCCGCTGGCCGCCGAGCGAAAAGATGCGCGCGGCGTCCAACCTGAACGTGTTGAGGTTGATGTGCAGGTCGATGCGGAGCTCCATGACCTCCTTGACCTTGACCATGTAGATGTTCGTCCCCGTGTCCAAAACGACGTAGCCGCGTTCCACCGCGACGATCGTCAGGTGGCCCCAGAAACCTACCGTGAACGGGTGATTGAAAGTGATGACTCGACGCTGCTCCTACAGAACGCCATGAATTTGTCTTGCCACCAATCGCGCGCGTTGCTCTTCTTCACGTCGCACAAGAAAGCAACGATGCTGGTCACGAGGATGACGCCGATGTCGAGGAAGCCGACCTTCCTGACGAAGTTTGGATCGCGGCTCCACCCTAAATCGCTGAGGCTGCTCCACAGCAGATCTGTGCCGGGTGGCTGCGGCGCCATCCTAGGATTCCACGCGAGCGCGTGATCGACCACATGCCAAATCTGAATCGTGCTCATGGAGAAGCCTCGCTTCCGCAGGATCAGCCCGACGTCGCGCCGCTCCTTCCACAGGAGCGTCGAGAGGAGCAGCGTCGCGAACGCGCGCCCGATTCCGACCATCTTTTCGACGCCCCGGGCGAGGTCCACATCCTCGTCGTCCTCTTCTTGGGCGAGCGCTTTGATGAAGTTGTGGGAAACGCTGTTCGTCGGGCCGCCGTCGGCGCCCTTCTTGCCGAGGCGGCCAGCGATAGCGCCGAGCGCGCCACGGTTTACGTTCGGATTGCGGTAGAGAGTAGCCATCGTCTCAGCCTTTCGCAAATTAATGTCAAGTTGCAGTCGTAAAAGAAACGTTGACTCGAGTCCAGCGTCGCGATGGTCCAGCGCCTCACTTTCGACACGGCGTCCGTCGTTGTCTCTTTCACGGATCAGCCCGCGTGGGTGCGCGGCTTGCTGTGCGCGAACAAGGAGATGGCAAGCAAGCTCTGGAAGATCTTCATGGACGCTGCGGTGGAGTCGCGCGCCACCACAACATTCCTTTACAAAAGCCCTCCTAGGGGTTTGCCCGACTACGCGGACTCGGAGGCAACCGCCGCCTACTGCGAGGCGATCGTCGCGCAAGTGGAGCGATGCGCGTCCCCCACAGCGACGAGCGCCGACCGCAAGGTCGGCGGGCGGGCGGCGTTTGCCGCGGGATCTTTCCACGGTGAGCACAGCCTCGAGCTGGCGGTGCGCTGCCACTTATTCTCTGCGCTCGTGTCATGCATCACGCTCTTTTTCCAGCGCTGGGAAGCGACGGCGGCGGAACCGGTCCCCTCTCGATCATTCGAACGAACCGTCGTTCTGGCAACGAGCGAGTTCGTGATGCACTGCAAGCAGTGCGGTGTTGCATTCTGCCATACGCCTAATTCCCATTCTCATGAGATTATGGACTTGTTGGACGCAATGCAGCTCCTCTGCGAGGCGTGGAACGGCCCTCACGAACTCAAGACTCGTGATGAAGATTTCCTCTATGCAGTCAACGGCTTGGGGCACCTGCTCGAAGAAGACATCGACAAAGATGACGCCTATTGGCTCCGCGACTTAGACTACTAATATTCTCGTAGAGCCAGCGCGAAAACCCCACGTGTCGCCGACGGCGTGCCCGGTCGACGCCCGCGTCGAACTTGTAGTAGACGCCGTCCTCGCTCGCGGCGAAGGTCGTCTCGTGGACGTTGTCCTCGATGGCGCCGTACATGGTGTGCACGGGCTGGGCGGCGTGCGTCTCGTCGGACTGGCCGCGCGCCTGGCTCGTGAGCGCGTAGGTGTCGATGGCCGTGAGCGTGACGTCGACGTCGCACGTCGCCGCCTCCGTGATCTTGACGGTGCACGTGACGTGCGAGGGCACGCTCGAGCGCCCGTCGAAGGTGACGTCGTCGAGGCCCGCGGACGTGCCGTAGATCTTGACGGTGATGTCGTCGAGGCCCGCGAGCGCGCCGCGGTTGCTGAAGCGGAGCGTCTTCTCCGGGAGCGACATGCAGTTGTCCGTCGCGAAAACCGTGGGCATCACCGCCGACGACGAGGGAGCCCGTGTGCTCGAGCGTGTAGGCGAGACCTAGGCCGAGGTGCCGTCGCCGAAGCCGGACCTGGGGACCGCGACTAGCGTCTCGTCGATGGTGGAGTTCGGCGGGCTGGCGCGCGCGCTGCCCGCGGCGAGCGCAAGCGCCTCGAGCTCGAGCAAATCGCGGGGCGACGTCCATGCACGCAGACGCTGCAAGTCGAGTAGCGCGCGCGCGTCCACGACGAAGTCCAAGCAGCCATCGCGTTAAGTTTTCAAGTTGAAAATCAACATGCATCCGTAAAAAACGCAGCTGAACGAGCTGGGCTCCCGCCGTGTCCACTCCGGTCGCGTGCGCCATGGCGGCTGCGGTGGCTCCGCTTTCCACGACGATCGCGGCGGCGGAGGCGGACGCCGACGACACGCGCGAGGCCATCTCTGGCGGCTATGATTGGCCGTCGGAGATGCGGCGTCTTCTCGACGTCAAGAAGGAGATGCTTGGCGAGGAGGAAGACGCGCCGGCGTTCGACGAAGAAGACAAGACGCGGCTGCGCAAGAAAATTCAGGAGGCTGAGGACTACAAGGCGGTCTTCACGGTGCCGGACGGCCACTTCTTCAAGATCCAGCTCGCGGCCGCGGCGCGGTCCGGCGAGTTCACTGCGCTCCTCAGTTTTTCTGGCATGCCCGAGCCGCCGGTAGGAGAGACGTGGGCGAAGCTTCTCGCTCAAGTGCGTGACGGCGGTCCGCGGGCGGTCGTCACCATCCTGCGCGGCGTCCGCGAACAGGCCCTTTGGCTCGTGTTTTGTCTCGCAGAGTGGATGTTCAGCAACGCGGGGCAGCTGCTCGACGGCGTCATGCCCGGCGCCATCCAGGAGCCCGAGGGCCTCGGCGTCGCTCTGCTCCTCGTGCACTACCTGAACTTCATGTGCTCGGCGGTCGAAGGGAACGGCACGATGTGCACGCTACTTCAGTCAATCGGTTACCGTGTTTTTGTTTTTGAGCAAGACGGCTCTTTGGCGAAGGAGTGCGCGCGGCCGCTCGCGACCTTCAACGAAGACTGGCCGAGTCATGAGAATTTCACGACAGTGGACATCGAGGAAAAATACCGCGCGTCCTTCGACACGAGCTACCCGTCGAACAGTCGGGCACTGAAAGCCCTTGCGAAGACCATCGGCCAGTCGGCCGCCGAGGCCGTCAAAAAGTCGGCCGACGAGCCCGCCATCAAAGCCGCCAAAGCCGCGCGCAAGGCGGCCGCCGAGGCCGCGCGCAAGGCGGCCGCCGAGGCCGGCGGCGCGGAGTCCGCGCCGGAGCCCGCGGCGACGATGCCGGCCGCGCCGCCCGCACCGGCCGCGCCGCCCGCGCCGCCCGCGCCGCCCGCGCCGCCCGCGCCGCCCGCGCCGCCCGCCGAGCACACGCACCTCACGCGAAGCCGCAACAAAAACCAGTGAGCCCCACAGCTCCCCCACGCCTCCCCCGCCCGAAGCCCCGGGGCTAGGCCTGGTCCCCGGCGCCTTAGCCCGAGCGGCGCCACCAGCACGAACGGCGCGTCGCGGGCGCGTCGCGGGGGATCTCGAGGGCCGAGATCGCGCGGTCGACCGCGGCGAGGGCCCCAGGAGGGCCCGGGACACGGCCTTCCCAGCTTCACCCACTTCAGCTTTGGCCGCCGGCGAGCTCGAGGTCCATCGCCCATCGTCCTTCGGCTGCCAGCGTCGCCGCGCG